CAGGAAGAGTGGGTTTATGTTGTGGTGGTTAGAGATTGGGGACAGCAGTAAAAGACCTGGTTTCTGCTGCCAGAAAACTTTAGGAGATTCCTTTTGGTGCTCCATGACTCAGTTTCCCCATCTGTGAAGGAGCACGATACATAAGTTGGTCTTTGCAAAAAGCTGTGGGCTCAACAGCCAAGAGAATTTGGTGTTACTGTCGTTGTCCTTGTTCTGGCCATTGATGGAGACAAGACCAAGGCATTATATGAATCCAGTGCATTTTTATGTCCTTTTATGCGTGCTGCCTCCACAAATAGGTGGCATATCCTCTCACTGTAGCCAGTTTGCGCTTAAGCTCTGTGGATGGTGGAGAATCCCTAGGGATCAAAGAGAAATCATTGCAGGATGTGGTGTCACTTCTTTTCATTTCTTCTTGATCTTTTTGAGTGACTCAATGCCACTGTTGGAGTTTGGTTCTGCTGAACTGAAGTACTCAGAAAAGCAGGCACTCGTAAAAATGACCAGCAACTGATGGTGGGGACAGCAGTGTGGCAGACTAGAGGTCTCGAAAATGTGAGCTGTGAGAAGGGACATAAAGAAATTGGTTTATTTTAGGCGGGAGAAAAGATGACTGAGGGTCTACATGGTAATTGTGTGCAAACAGGTAAAACACTGCTGCAGGCTGAAAATTAGTAAGTTCTTCTCCTTGTCCATGGTTGGGATGATGATAAATTAGTGGTTTAACCTTCAGAAGAGGAGTTTAGGTTTCATGTACAAGCAGGAATGGGTACTTCCCTTCTGGGAAGGGGAAGCCATGCAAGACTACAGGTCAGATTTGGTGAATATCTCTCTGGAAAGAGTTTGGCAGAGGTGATGCTGTCTTTGCCCAAATGCACTTGGGCAGCACCTCATGGGCACCACCACCTTGTTTTTTTGGCGTCCCTGTGTCGCTGATATTATAAAAACCAGTTGCATGCTCCTTTTCTCTACTTCCTCCTTCAGCCTTTGCAACTTACCCTCTCCAACTTTGCCTTTCCAGCTGTCCTTGTTTTGCTGGGATAGAATCAGTTTTCCATTCAGGAAAGCTGCATTTCTGAAAAGACTACAGCACTCGATTTCACAGGGACAAAGCTGATAAGACACCTTGGTTTAGTTTTTGGCCAGCACTGGTATGTGAAGACCAAGGTCTTCAGAGGTTTTAAGTTAAAGAGGTGCAGAAGCTGAAGAGAGCAAAAACCAAGGCAGTTGAACCAAAACTGTCCCCAAGATGGCCAACAGAAATTATCCGTATCATAAAAGTGATGCTCACTATGAATTAGGAAGTTTGCAGGGGAGGACCCTCTTTCTTTGATGGCTGCTGTCTCAGAAGGTTTTCACCCCTCATTCTACTTACAAGGTCTACTCAGCTCATCGTGACCATCATATTGGCTGAGCATAACTCTGTGTATTTTACAATTATTATTTTATCAAATCTGTTTCTATTTCAACCCATGGGTCTCCTTTCCTTTTCCCAGTTGCCCTCCTCTAGTGAGGAGGAGCCATCGGGTAACAGAACAACTGCATAAACCAGACACCAGCTAAAGTACATTTATTTAATTTCTTGCACCATGAAGAAGGCAGGATTCCTGTGTCATCCTGCAGCTCCTGGGGCCGGGGGTTTTCAGGGAAATTTCGAGTCCAGGCGGTGGCCTTGGGCATGTTGTGGAAGCGGAAGGAGGACTGGTGTCCGTGGGAGAGCAGGTGGCTCAGCGGGCATTGCCACCCCGCTGGGATGTCACGCCAGTGTCACCAGTGTCGTATGTGACTGGCGTCGCATTTTCTCGAGTGTCGAGCCCCATCTGGTGGCTTTCCTGCGTCAGTTTTTGGTGTCCTTGGGTCTTCTTTCGCGTTTGTTTTTTTTTTTTTAAGTCTTCCGTGCGTGTGAACTGCAAATGGGAGGGAAGGACAAGGTGCTTAAGGGCAGAGCTTGCCGAGCTGCCCCTGCTTCTCTCCCAGCTCCGTGTCCCTGGGTGTCCTTTGGAGATACAGAGGCTGCCGAGGCTTACGTCCTTTCCTCCCGCACTTCCTTGCGGTGCAATCTCGCCCCGAGTGGCAATGAATGATCTAATCGTTTTGGCGAAACCCCAATTTGTGCTGTGAGCCCCTCCCAGAGCCTTCAGAAGGCATTTCATCCCACCGTCACGCTGGCATCGGAGGTGGGACAGATGAATGGTCCCAGGAGGGGACGTTTCTCTCCATTAGCTGGCTCAGATGACCAACTTTAGGGTCGATGTTAGTTGAAACAATTCCCATCGCAGATTTCAGAGCACAAGGTTGCAGCCACTGCTCAGGATGAGAAGGAAAAAGACCCAATATTCAGTTATTAATATCAGCAAGCACAGGAATCTCTTAGGAGGTGCTTCCTTTCTTAAATGCCATGAGTCCTGTGACATCAGGGCACCTTGTCCTACACTGACCTGGTCACCTCCATCGACAAAGGTTAGTCAAAGGTGCCCTGAAGGGACATTTTGCCCCAGGATGAGGTTTGCAGGTCCCCTCACATGCCTGATACGGAAACAGATGACAGAGCGGTACCTGTCCATGCATGAGACACCTTCTTCTAGTCCAACATTGCCCAAAGTCTCAATATCTGACCAGCAGTAAGCTGTGGCCTTTTGCATTCATGGGTCACACCTGTGCTGAAGGTGAAGATGTTGTCTCATTGCTCAGTCTGTGATGAATTGGGGTCAAATCTCTTTGCTCCATGAGGGGAGCTCCCTACTGCAGCACTAAAGGAGCTTAGATGGTGTGTCCATATACTACCAAGTGTCATGGGCAGCATTTGGCAAGTAGCTTCTTCTCGTCAAGGAAACAAATTAAGGGAGTTGTTTTCTTGTGCAAATGTTTTATGAGCAAGTTGAAGTTGAACACTTCCCATCTGGGCGGTGCAAGTCAAAGGTTTCCCACTTTTGCAACAAAAGTGGAGATAATGTTAAAGCTATGTAGACACCTGTGTCTACCCCAAACTCCCTTTCCCCCAGATAACCTCCCTCTCCCCAGACAACCCATCCTCCTTGGGTTTTGAGGGATGCCAAAGTCTCACGCTCCGCTTTTCCTCCTGTTCCCCGCAGGTATATCCGAACTATGTACCTGGGGATCCAGAGCCAGCGGCGGAAGGAACACCAGCGCCGTTTCTACTGGGCTATGATGTACGAATATGCAGACGTAAATATGTTGCGCCTCCTGGAGACTTTCCTCGAGAGCGCCCCTCAACTGGTGCTACAGCTCTGCATAATGATCCAAAAGAACCGTGCAGAAGCATTACCATGTAAGTGTCCCCCCTTATCACCCTCTTCCCCATCGCTGGTCCCGTGCTCAGCTGCCGATGGATGCTTTGCTTCCTGTCCGCCCTATGCAACCTGCTGTGTAAGGGGCTGCCACTTTGGACAAATCTCATTCCAGCTCCGTGCTGTGTTTGCTGGGTAAAATTTCTGCTCATTCCGCTGAGGAAAAAAAAGCACAGTATCAGTCAAAAGATGAGATTCAGCTTTTCTACACCCATTCCCATCTAAAGAAATGATGGTGGTGTCAGGAGGAGGCAGGCAGTCTCTGCTGTTGTGACAAGTGTCACCATTCATTTTGGGCAAACACAATCATTCCCTGCCTCAGTTTCCCTCCTTACATAAGTAGGACGATAAAACTGGCCAGATTTGGATTTGTGCTGTAAGGACAAATGGTTCAATGCCTGTGTGATGCTCTGATGGTGTGAAGCCACCTAGTGCAAGGTGCTTGGTTGTATAGATAAAGGCTTCAGGACCTTTGCTGAAGAGTGCCCAGAAATTAAGGTTTTGGCATTGGTACCATGGTTCTTAGCAAGCTGCAGAAAAGAGAGGAGAAAAGGCAGTGGAGGGGACTGTGTAGAGACAGAGATGTTGCAGTGCAGGTATCATTGCAAAGATGAGCAGAGGTTTGGAAGCAGTTCTTCAGGGTTAAATTTTGCTGATTGGACCAAGGTCACCGCTGTCTAGAGCATCAGTAAGTTGGACTGCTCTCCCCTTCCTCCATACTTCAGGCATGTCCATCATAGTTGTTTATAGAGGCCTCCTATTTATGCAGTCTTTTTTCTGAAACCTCTCATCACGAGCTCTCCAGGCCTCCGAAGTGCTGACACGATGAACATGCTTTCGTACAACTCCCGCTAGATCTGCTCACATTTGCCAGCACCCTTTTCCCGCTGCTTCTGACATCAATAACCCTGCTGAAAATGTATAAATCATAAGCGAAGAGGCTTGCCAGGGCGGTATGCAGATTGTTGGGCTCGCTGCAGAAAGCGCTAGGTGAAGTTTGCCGGCCTCTGGGGCACTGGAAGCCAGACGACACGGCCGAATAATCCCCCCAGGCTTTCAAATCTGTGGCTCTCTCAGTTTGCCACTTCCAGGCATGGCTGCCTAATCCACCCGAACAAGCTGCATCATTTTCCAACCCCCCCTCTGTGTCCCCTCCCATCCTCAGCTATGCAGTTCCTCTGCTCCTCCACCACACCGAGCTTGCTGCTCTCTCTTCCAAGGCAATGCACGTCCCCGCCTGCCTCCCCGAGCCCTGGAGGGCTCTTTGCCTGCCACGCTCCAGCAGCCGAGCTCTCATGGTCCCCAGCACTCTCCCTGCCCATGCCAGGGATGCGGTTGAGCATCTCGGGGCTGTGTGCCGAGCGGTGAGCATTGCTGATGGATATAAGCAGCAGATCAGCGCTCCCAACTCAGGTGCAAGGTTTCCTAGAGCTCCTCTGTGCCCAGTCAGTGTTTCTGTCTTCCTCCTCTTCCTCTGCCCGGCCAGCGCGTAATTATGTAAAAGGAAATTAAATGCTGAAAGGAGCCATTATGAAAGCGAGCATCAAAGATTTCCCTTAAAGCAGGCAGGAACCGAAGAAAGATGGATATTGTTAGGAAGGCAGTGTGTTTAAAAATCAAATCAAGTCTCTCCAGGCTCATTGTGTGTACGTGAGCGTGGCTCTGCACAGGAAGAGGCCAGTTCTGCCTCTGAACAGGGACAGCATCAGCCACGTCACCAAGGGATGCACACTGGTGAAACAGCCTGCAGCAGCGCTGATAAACCCAGGTACGGCCCATGCTACTGTGGCCAGACTCCAGCTATCTCCATATGGCTCACACAGTTTCTTATGGATGCATTTAGTGCTAGAACAAGGTCAATTTACCATTTTATATACCCCTCCTCCAAGCCCTAGTCCTCCCTGCTCTTAAGACTGCAGTGCCATGTCCAGTGCAGGAAACCAAGCCAGGCTCCAGTCTTCTCCAATAGGCTGCCTGATGTCTTCTTCTCCTATTCAAGGAGCTTTAGAAAAGAAGTTGCTGGAATGGCTATCGGGAAGTTTTGCTTTTTTTCTCCTGCTTCCCACATTAAGATTGCTGTTGGGGTAAGAAGAGTGAATATACTGGAGGTCTTTAATCAAATCCAGAGCATCTCCTGCAGAGATCATAGAATCACAGAATCACTTAGGTTGAAAAAGGCCTTTAAGATCAAGTCCAGCCATTAACCAAGCACTGCCAAGTCCACCACTAAACCGTGTCCCTAAGCACCACATCGCCCCGTCTTTTAAACACATCCAGGGATGGTGACTCCACCACTGCCCTGGGCAGCCCCTTCCAGTGCATGATAACCCTTTCGGTGAAGAAATTTTCCCTAATATCAAATCTAAATCTCCCATGATGCAACTTGAGGAAAGGGCTGATCTTGCCTATTGTGGCTGCAGTGAGTAGAGGAGCACTGTGAGGACTGGCAGAAGGGGATGCAGTCAGGCAAAAGCTTAATTTCCAGGTTTCCGTATCTATTGGATGGGCAGAAGAAAGTGAAACCTCGCCATGCCTCGCAAGAACCATTTTACCCTGAGAGGTTCCAGCTTGAAAGGATTGGGTGAACCTGTGCCTATTGCTCCTTCTGCGCTTAAAGAACAGACCAGTTTCACTACTGGGCCCCTGCTCACCCAAGAGTTATCATCTCCTGGGTGGTCTGACACCACCAGCAGCAGCAGTGCTGGAGCTGGAAGTCAAGTTCGAGTCCCAGCCTCAGTAAAGCTTGAGACAACGCCCCTGGGGTTTAGTGAAGGTCAAGATTTGTTCATAACACCCCTAACACAAGGCAGACCAGATCCCAGCTTAGCTGCTATTGCCCAGTGACTCGGGAAGAGCAGAAAATAGCACAGAGAGAAAAGAAGTAAGAACTCGGTGTCCTTCATTGGGCCAGATCTGACCTGGATAGTGCACAGTGAGAGCCTGAGCTGGAGTCCTTTGTGCTGTGGTTGCTGGGACAAATGGGTCAACATCAGCTCCTGGATATGTACCTGGAACGAGCTGGTGTTGGTATGCAGGCCCCAAGATTTTTGAGAGGATGGTACAACAGGGTGGCCATCTCTCTCAGATTTCTGGACAGCACTGGCCAGAGGACTGCCCTGATTTAAGCATCATGGTATATTTGTGGGGGGAAACATAATATTAACAATAAAAAAAGCCCAGCATCAGCAACCCAGATCTTCATTTCGTAACCACTCCTAGCAGATAATCCACCTCGCTTCTTGCAGAATAAAGCATCCTTAACCCACTTCGCCCTGCAGCGGTGCCTTTTCCTCTGCCCTGAATGGAAAGGAGCACACATAACCCGCTTAAAGGAGACACTCAACTTCTAGGCAGTTAATGAGGTGAGAGAGATTCCAGATTTTCAGCATAAATCTCCTCTTAAAGAGGTTTCCTTTTACTTAATTTTTTCCTGTGGCTACTTTAAGACTTAATGAGATTTAGCTGAACATCTGACGTCCTTCCACTTGTGTCACGAGTGCTTTACGCAGCACTTTGGCTGGGAATTTGCCGGCCTGAGCCTGCAGTATTCATCACAAGGTTTCCCCCCACAAAAACGACTGTCGATCCACTGATGCTCCTCTATAACCCTGCTGTTGATCTGGAAGAGATTTGCAGCGTAAGCCTTCATTATGCAAAGTCCCATTGAAATCTCTGGGATTTTGCATGGTGTCTGCACTCCCGCCCACAATAAGTAGTCTGAGGCTGCTCCTATATTTAAGAAAAAGCAACACCGACCTCATTTTTTTATGTGGAGTTGCTCTTTTTTTAACAGAGCAATACAAGTTAGGGACTGAAGAGGATTTTAGACATCTTAGTTACAAACGTGTTGGCTGCAGGGTGGCATTTGCAAATGACATAGCCAAATCTTATTGACCCTTCCAAGTCCTATCTGTTTTATCATATCCTTACCATATCTGGGGGTCATATATGATCAGGGCTTGTCCTTTTTTTTTGTGGGAACACTCTAAGATGCTTTTCCCTGTCACTTAGTTTAGAAAATTTAATGGGTCTTTGCGGGGTATTGGAGAATGAGCATCAGGGGTGGGTTAGCTGTTGTCCTTACTGCCCAGAAAGGGCATTCCCTATTGAGCTGAGTGGGTTTGGGATGAGCCAACTTCAAGTTAAACACTCCGGCACCCCAGTGAGAGGTTTCCTGTGTGGGTGATAATGAGTTAAGTCTAATGTGGAGATAAATTTCTCAGTTAATTTCCCCCTGATGACAGGCTGATAGTTAACCAATAACATGCTGTGAATAATGGATATGCTGAGAACTGCATACTGTCTGAAATGTCCTGTTAGATATATTCATCGGGTAAGCAATATCCCAAGGCACCACCACGTGTTGAGGAATGGTTTGAGATCTACAAACAAGGCCATGCCTGAAGGACAGCAAATTAATTACTTCTTACTCAGTCCCCTTCTCCCCAAAGATCAAAGTAACCTCCTTAGCTGGGGCAACCAAGTTGGAAAGGAAGTCTTCAGCCTTTAGCTGCCCAAGTATATGACTTTAAAGTGTGATTAACATTGGCCTGAACGTAACTGAAGAGACTAAAATTCCCATATCTCCACTGGAAGTGAAGAAGAAACTCATTAGATTTAAAAGTTGAGCCTATAAGTGGCACTGCTAACTTTGAAGGAGCACTAGAAGTTACTGCAGGATCCTTCATGCTTGGCTTGGACCAGCTAAGTCTGCACTGAACAACACCCAGGGACTACTTGGAGGTGAGCACAGACCAGGGACCATTCCCAACAGGCAGCTGGATGTGGCCACATTTGGATGGCAAGACATGAGGTATGGATAGGGTCAGGGTGTGCCCACTGACCTCAGGGCTGGAGAACAATTCCTGCAAATACTTGGTGCTTGGTAGAGACGCAGCCACAGAGGACTATAGGTGGGAGATGCCACAATGAATGGAAAAGCACATGTAGAAAGTGCTTGCTGTGGGGTGTTGTTGGTCAT